TGTATTTGAAAGTGACTCGAACTCGAAAAGATATGGGAGAAACTTCAGTGCATAGTCCGAAGTGGAAAAAGCTAATCTGAAAAGGCTGCATAGTATATGACATTCTGGAAAAGGCAAGACTGTGGAAACACTGCGAATATCAGCAGTTGCCAAGGGTAGTGGGGAGGCAGGGATCGACTGGCAGAGCGCAGAGGATTTCGAGGGCCATGAAACTGTGCTGTTTGGCTGAATATCCACAGTCATGCTGGACACAGGTCATACATTTGGCCAAAACCACCGAACAGACAGCACCAACAGTGATTTGTGATATAAATTATGGACTTGGGGTGACTCCGTGTCAATGTAGGTTCACCAATTGTAGCAAATTTTCACTCTGGGAGCGGGGTGTCAACAGTGGGGGAAGTGATGCAGGACCGAGTCCATCTGAGAAATCTCTGTACCTCCTGTTCGGTTATGCTGTGAACCTAGAACTGCTCTGAAAACTCAGGTTTATTTTTACAAAGTGGCTTGAGCAATTGGGATATTTATTGTCTCCGAGAGGAGGTGTCTAGGGGCAGAGAAGATGGAGGATTTGTTCAGTGGCTACAGTGCCGCTGAGGCCCCAGGGGTTTCCCATATTTTGCCTCTGCCTTCCCTCCTGTCACAAAAATGATTGCAGCTCTTCTGGAAGTCACAGTGAGGCACAAGCATGTCCAGGAAACATGAACTTACTTCTCCCTCTGCATGTCTTTTTAAGAGGGCAGAAAACTTCCTCAAAGACTTGCCTCTGTTTCCCATTGGCTAGGACTGAGTCACACACCCGTGGTCTGATTGCAAAGAAGCTGGGGAGAGCATCCGCCTTGGCCAGACTCTGGTACGTCTAGGGTCCGGTAGCTTCGCTCATGTCCCTCCCGCTTTCCCCAGCCAGTGACCTTGGCCTCGTCCTCTCTTTCCTCTCTGGTTCTCCCTTACTCTACCCTCTACCCCTGAGAAGGTTCAGCGTTCGCACATACCTTTCTATGCAGCTTTTTTGTTCCTGGGTCTTGACTCCCTTACATGTGCATCTGTCTTAACAGCCAGACATGGGCTTCTGGAATCACACCCCAGTCAGCAGGGGAGCCCTGGGGTCTTGCCCAGGCCTGGTACACAGTGATGCTTGAAAAGGAGGCTCGAACGGGAGTACAAGCTGATGGAGCTACACGAGGTCCCAGAAAGGACAAAAAGGCAAAGGGCGGGGTCTGGGGGAGAGAAGCAGCGTCAGTGGAGAAGGGAGTGTGAAACACTGAAATACTTCACTGTAGACACAGCAGCAATGATCTGTAATTGTGAATGCTGTAACTCCAGTGGTCTCAGAAAAACTGACCTGGGAATGTCACTCTGAAATTTAAAGGAGACACGTTCAGAGCAGAGAAGGCACAACTGTGTGTCCTCAAGGGACAGATTTCTCGCACTGTTCCTTCAACCTGTGAATGAAACTCATTACCTCTAATAGGCTGTGCATTAAAGATCCCAACAGTATTTAAGGGGTTAAAAGCTACTCAATAGGCAAAATGACTGCACTGTCCAGGCGAGGCCTTGTGGCCTCAAAAACACCCTCGCCCTATCTCAGTTCCCAGAGGGATTCTGGATGAATCACAGGTCTGCAGGGAAGCCTCACAGCTCCTTGGAAGTCCCTTCTGTGGCACAGAGGTTCCTCATGGCGAGGGAGAGAGAGAGGGGGTGGAGGAGAGAGACAGAGGTGCCCCTGACCCAAGGATCACATGGTAAAGTCTCGGCATGGCTGACCACCCCAGGCAGAGGCCTAGCGACACCCTGGCAGTTTGGACCCCAGCTGTGGTTGGCTGGTGGCCGCCAGGCCCCGGCACTAGAATCGGGATGTCTCCTGAGTATCGGTCCCTCTCCACCACTGCTGCTCTGAAGTTTTTTATCTTACGAGTACAGACACTGAGTTCAGCCACTAATTGCGGTCTTTCAAAACCATTAAGGAACATTTAAGCTGAATCAGGTTAAAATTATCAGCTGAGGATAGCTCTTCCATTCTCCAAGTCCAGTGGAAGCCCAGGAAAGAAATCTTGCGGCAACAACGGAATCTTACCTGCCCCACAGACATTCCAGCCCCTTAGCATTAACCTTCGCCCACTTTTAAGGGGCAGCAAGGTCTAAACTCAGCTGGCCACTTTCTTCTACTCCGAAGCTTGGAGCTTTAAAAAAAACACAAAACTCGCTCACTGCCCCACCGTGATGGTCCCTGGTGCTGGGTTACCTTTTGCGGGTGCTACTTCTGCAGCCGCTCCCAGATTTGTTCCCCAGGGACCACACAGCCTCTGTCTCCCCTTCCTTCTGTCTGCGTAGAAGCTTCTCCCCTCCCCAGGAGGGCAGAGACCACCCTCAGCAGCTTCTCTCCTTTGCTCCTCACCTTGCTGCTCTCTGTGTCCCTTCTCCTTTGTGAGGCCGTATGCTTGATTTTCTGTTCTTCCAAAGCCAAACCATTGCATCTCTGCTATCGCCCCCTTTCTCTCCATTTCACCCCCAACACTACCAGAGTCACTGCTGCCTTGCCCTTCCCCTCCTGGGCTCTAGTTTACTCCCAGCCCCTCCCAGTGACCTAATCACCAATGTCTAGGGCCATTTCCTAGGGCTCATTCTTCTCCCCACCCTCACCGTCCCCAGCCTGCCTATGACTCTCCATGCCCTGACTGTCCTCTTTCTTGGAAGCCACAGCCACTGCATCTGGATTACCCAGTCGGGCATCCACGCTGCAGTCTGGACCTTCTTGTTTGAATGAAAACACCTTGCTTCCACGGCTCTCCTCACTTTTAGGGCTAAAGTGGTCTCTTGGTGTGCAGGGCTGTTAGGGGTATGGTCCCAGCAGGTTTACCTGCATCATTTGTGATCACTTGTCTCTAGCAGTTCAATCACATCTAGACTTTTGCAACTGTCTCAATGTTCTCTGTACATTTGCAAGTGCTATTTCCTCCTTCTGGAATGTCTTTCTGTTTCACATCCATGCCCCTTCCCCCACCCCGCCCCCAGTCTTGGGATTCTTCTCTGTCCCCCAGAGGCAGCTGTGCTCCTGGGCTTTCCCTGAAAGTGTCGTATGAGCTCGATGACTCAGCAGTCACCCGACCCTTGGACTTGGACTGCTAGGAAAGGACCCAGTAGCCCAGTACACGATAAACCGTGACGTTCTCACTCTTAGGCTCTTCTCTCTCTTCACAGCCTCCTTCTGAAAATCCCTGTGGTTTCAGTTTCAACGTGCAGCTCAGTCCAACAGAATGCCCTGGGTGCTGTGCTGCAGGCCTTTGTCGGGCTAATCACCAGCCGTCTTTACAGCCCACATCTCCTCCTAAGCCCAGGCCCGTGTTCCTGGCTGTCCACGGGATGGATACTTCCATCCAGACGTCTACCTGGGGCCTGGCTTCTCCGGCCACATTCCCTGGGAAACCCCATGCTCTTCACTGAAATTAGTAAACTTTTTGAGTAAAGAAGATTATCCTCTATAGTGTGGGTGGTCCAAACTCCTAAAAAGAAAAAAGACTGATGTCCCCCCAGGAAAAAGAGAACCTGCCTGTTACCCATCTTTGCACTCAAGCTGCAGCATCAACTCTCCTGTGGGCCTCCCGCCAGAGGGCCCACCCTGCAGATTCTGGAGCTGCCAGCCCCGCAAATGAGCAGAGTCAACTTTCTAAAACTAACCTACACACACACACACACACACACACACACACACACACACACACACGCTCTGGTTCTGTTTCTTTGGGGAATGCTCTGGCCCGCGGAGCAGTCAACTGGGGCTCGACCACCTACCTAGAACAAATGGGTTGGGGGGACAAAAGGCGCGAAGAATGGCAGCAAGACAAAAGATTCTGATCAAGCTGCAAACTTTATTTTTCCAAACTGGGTATATATATATAGGGGGGGAGGGAGAGATTAGGTTGCTTGCTGTTGGCTAGCTTGAGACAAAGAAGGGCCCGCTTATTGATTACTTGGGTGCAACTGGTACTCGTGGACACCTCATGTGCCTGTAGCTGAGGTGACCTCATGTGCCTGTAGCCGATTGGCTCGTGGAGCGCACAGGTTCCTGTAATCAACTCAATGTTTTTAGCTAGAAGCCAGGGTAAGGTTCCCAACAGGGGAACCCTGACCAACTCGGTTCCCATGCATCCTGCCTCCTAACCCAGCTTCCTGCCCCTGTGCTCACTCCCCTCCAACCCAGCCAGTGGTGCTCTCCGATTTTATGTAATGGGAATTTGCTCACAGCGATTGCCAGATCCCTATTGTTTACTGATTGGCAGCTGTGTCTCCCAGACATCAGGTGTCTGTGTATCTTTCCCATGATGTCTGACAGCAGCTGTTAGGGTTCCATCTATACAATTATTTATTTCATATTTTTCTTTGTATCAACTTTTCTCAGGGATATTTGCACTTTGTCAGGAATTCATGAGTTTTAAGATAAAGGCTCTTGCGGTTATATTATGGTTCTCCATCAAAAGGTAAAGAACTACTTTGTGGACGGGTTTGAAGGTCTTCCCAGTTCCTGGAGACCACACAAGCTGGTCCTCTTAACTTGGAAGTCCAGTTTCCAAGAAGGAGTGTCCCAGGAGAGATTGGGGGGCATGGCAGATTTTCCTCTTGTCTCCGTCGCCCCTGCAGAGGTCGTTCCTTATGCAATCTGCCTCTGCCTCTGTGGACGAGAGCAAGGATTGTGACTGCCGTGATTGCCCCCTCACTGGGGGTGAGGAGCATGAGAGAGAAGAGGAAAGAGGAAAAGAGACCACTTAAGATTCCATCATTTACTCCTCACGTTTGCAAATATCCCATTCCATTATTTTCTAGACCATCTATTCTGAGGAAAACACTACAAAGAAGTAGGTAGTGCCTTTGCATCGGCTGTCCCTTTGACAACATTAAATGACTTAGTCACGTTGTGTGGGAAATAAAACCAGTTGATTCATGGTGATGTGACCCTTGTGTCACTCCGCTTCCTTTTTTTCTGTTCTATATCAGACTCCCGGCCCTCGGGAAGGGCACCTCTGCATGCAAAGAAGAACCTGAGACGAACCTGTAAGTAAACTTGCAGAGTACTCTTATTTTTGAAATTGCCTTTTTTCAAGAAGTTGTTAAATATTAGTAAATTGGAATAAACAATTGAGGCCAGAGGGTCCTTTCACCCCGCTCCTCTACCCTGGCAGTTTACCTGCAAGCAGAAATATCAGAAACTCTTCGCTAACGCTGGCCTGGGGGATGTGAATACCCTCATCTCAGGGAAGACCTTGGCAGGAATATCCTCTTAACAAAGCAGCTAGTGTAGACTTATGCTTCTCCCCAGCCTTTGAGGAATTAATCGCTGCTAGCCAAGCCTGGGTGGGGGTTAGTGAGCAGCAGGGCTGGCCAGGTCCCGCTGCCGAGCGCAGGATGCAGGGCGACAGACTGAATTGTTCCGTAAACGCTGTTCTGTTTACCCAGTAGCTTTCATTAATCTTTCCTTTCTTGTGTGAAGGTTGCTTTCACAGAGGAAGGCATTTGCTGGCTTTCCCAAGGCAAGAATGATTAAAACAAAGTTACGAGGGATTCATTCTACCTCAGACCGGGGCCTCCGCACCGGCTCAAGCTATTTTGGCAGGCCGAGAGAACAGTGTGTTCAGAACCCAATGATAAGTCTGCAAGAGTTTTTAAAAAGAGAAAGAAAAAGGGAGAAGGACAAGAGACGCTTTATTCTTCTTTTGTACCTCTTCCAGGCACGGGGCTCCTGTAAGATGCCAACACCCAGAGGCAGCTCTGGGCTCTTCTGTGCCTTGTTCCAGAGACTGCTGGGCAGCAGGGACCTTAGAACTGGGCTAGCCCAAGGGAGCTGCAGCCCGGAGAGGTGAAGTGACCTGTCCAAGGTCACACAACCCGTCTGGATGAAGGCAGGCTGGACCGCCCGTCTCCCTGCCCATGCTCTCCTCCTATCCCACTCTGCCTTTGTCCAGTTTCCTTTCAAATGAGTTTCCCATCAAGCCCTGAAGACAGTGAGAGAGGCTGAGGGGTGTAGACGAGGAGCACCCATAGGGGATCCGCAGAGCAGGTTGCAGGGAAACCAAATGAGTAGAGAGGTTGTCCATCTGGGTTTATTTTCCCCAGGGAGTCTGCAGACTGTATCTGTGTTTGAGGAGCATGAGCCATTGGCTTCTGCATGGGGTGTACGGTCAGAAAGAGTTGGTCTTGCTTAATAGAAGTTTTGGGATGTCAGACAAGGCGAATGCTCCACAGGTGGGGACAGAAGGGAGTATCGGGACAGCCCCAGGGTCCCCATCTCCAAGTCCTTCCCAGAAGAAGGCCACATTGACTTCTCTTGCACTTGCAGGAGCAGCGAGCCCTTGGGTTTGTCTTGGCCAGTGCTGGAGTGGGCACCGGTGATGGGCATCTTCAATATCCCCCAACCAGAAGGCCCCCAGGGTGGGCCATCCACGTGGAGGTTCGATTAGGAGTGTTTCACGGCCCCATCTGCAATGACTGCCAGCTGGGCCTTGCATGTGGAGCAAGGATGTGTTCTTTGCACCCTGAGGGTGACCTGTGCTCAAAGCACAGTGCTCAGGAATGGTGGTCTCCTTGTCTCCCTAACAAAGAGGCTGGACAAGGGGCTTTGGGGGTGGACATGATGGCTGGGAGCCCCTGCACTCCATGCCAGGGCTTTTGTTGCTGCCACTGACATTTAATACTCCCCCTCCCCCAGGGAACATGCTTGAAGCCACTATGAACGCACCCTGCAGCTGGTGTCTGCTGGCATGTGCAGGCTTGATGGAGAAGTGTGGCCACTCCGTCTCCCGTGGCAACGGCTTAGCTCTGCGTGAAAGCAGATAAGTGTGGGCTCAGGCTGGATACGCAGACTTTGAGGCTCTGCATGGCTCCTGGCTTGGACCGGGGCTCCTCGTCACCAGCCCTGTCCCTTTCCTTGTTCCCTCCCACTCAGTCACACAGAAGGTGCTTTATCCCTAAGAAGGAGAGACTGGGCTCAGCTTGTAATACTGCCCTGAGGACTCCAGCTGTGGTTCTCCCTACTGGGATGTGGTACAAAGTGCAGGTTAGGAATCAAGGCAGGAAAGTGGCAGTTACTCTTGGGATATGCTTTTGGTAGAAGCAAGAAGCAGGTACTTGATATAGGGGAGACAAGGATGTTGAGTCAGGCAGTAAACATTACTGATAATGGAGGCAAAATAAAGAGAAATTGCAGGTTAAAGGAATCAGGTTAGCCTTTTAGAAGGTGCTGGAACAAGCAACGGAGAGGGAGGGAGGGGCTTGACCCTGTAGCACAAGGGAAGGGAATGTAATAGAGTGAGAGCTCTTTGGGCAAAAATAAATATTCCCAAGGCATAGAGAAAAACCTTTATGCATGCGACTGAAAACTGGCCTGCAGCATGATTTTAAAAATGTCCCAGGGGATCAAAAGAGGGAGCGGTAATTCAGATAAGCAGAGAGGAGAAAGAATAGGGTGGGGAGGGAGATGGAGCAAAGACAAGAGCAGGCAGTAATGTCAGGATTCCCCAAAGACCCAGGGTTGGAAACTGGCAACCAGTGGACAAAATCAGCCAGAGGGTTTAAAAATAATTTGAGCCTACCTTTAAAAAAAATCAGATGTCACCTAAAGAAATCTAGATTTCTGGCTTCTCTTGAAAAAAAAATCAGAAATCTTGGCAACTCTACAACCTTGTCTCTGTATAGTCTAGAGTAATATTTGCTGGCTGGGGGCTGCCACCCCTGGAGCTTAAATTTGGGCACAGGTTCTCCATTGCCCATCACCTCCTGCTGTTCAGTCCCCCAAACTATCTCCTGATTTCCTTCACTCTTTAAGGTGTCTGTGTGGCCCCGTGGGCATCTGCAATGCTGAGCGCTGCCTGCGCTGCTCTGATTTTTCAGCACAGGAAGAGCCCCGACCTTGACCCCCAGCTCAACAGAGTTGGGGTTAACGTCTGACCCCTGACCCTGGGACCAATGGCTCAGTTAAGAAGGAGGGCTCTGCAGCCTGGACCTCAGACCAGAATGGGCCTGATGCCAGGATGGGGACCTGCAGTCAGTGCTGGCGGGGTCAGTATGGGTGCTGGCAGAGGAAGTGGGGGACACCAGAGGCAGGTCACAATGACGGGAGAGCTTATACCAGCACTGTTGAATCTGCATTTCAGGATGCATGCATCATGATTGGGATTCCGGGGATATATTTCAACACACTTAGGAGCTACCCTTTGAAGATCATGTTAAAGAGGGTCTGAGAAGCTGGCCATCTTGAACCCTCAATGTCACTTAAACATCGGTTAGAATCCTGGCTCTTCCAGTTATTCTGTGTGACCTTAGGCAAGTTACCTAATCTTTCTGAGACTCACTTTCTGTATCTACAATGTTTAGATATAATACAGAGCCACTGTGAAGGTTAAGAATAATGTGTATCAGATGCTAAAACAGTGGCCAGACACTCGGTTAACAACTTGATAACCATTATCATTATTATTCATCTACTGGTTGGGCATGTTTGGTATGTGGGAACTGGAGCTCTATTTAGCTCAGGGACCCTGTTAAAGATTTTTTTTTTTTTTTTGGTTTTTGAACTTTAAAAAAAATTTTATTGATTATACCATTACAGTTGTTCTGTTCCCCCTTTCATTCCCCTCCACCCTGCACACCCCTCCCCCACCATTTCCCCCCTTTAGTTTATGACCACAAGTCTCAAGTTCTTTAGATTCTCCTAAAGAAATAGTATTTCCCCTACTATTCTTACCCTCTCCCCTATCTATTTTCCACCTACCTTCCGTGCCACTTATTTTCTGTACCTTTTCCCCCCTTCTCCTCCTCCCACTCCCCAGTTGCTAACCCTCCATGTGATCTTCATTTCCACGTTTCCACTCCTGATCTAGCTGACCTCCCCGTTTGCTTTTGTTTTAGGTGTGGTTCTTAATAACTGTGAATTTGCTGTCCTTTCACTGTTCCTCTTTTTTATCTTCTTCTTCTTAGATAAGTCCCTTTAACATTTCATATAATAAGGGCTTGGTGATCATGGACTCCTGGAATTTGATCTTACCTGAGAAGCAATTTATCTGTCCTTCCATTCTAAATGAAATTTTGCTGGATAGAGCAATCTTGGTTGTAGGTCTTTGGATTTCATGACTTGGAATACTTCTTCCCAGCCCCTTCTTGCCTGTAAGGTCTCTTTTGAGAAATCAGCTGACAGTCTGATGGGAAGTCCTTTGTAGGTGATTGTCCCCTTATCTCTTGCTGCTTCTAGAATTCTCTCCTTCATTTTAATCTTGGCTAATGTAATGATGATGTGCCTTGGTGTGTTTCTTCTTGGGTCCAAGTTCTTTGGGACTCTCTGAGCTTCCTGGATTTCCTGGAAGTCTATTTCCTTTGCCAGATTGGGGAAGTTCTCCTTTATTATTTGTTCAAATAAATTTTCCACTCGTGGCTGTTCCTCTTCCCCTTCTGGTACCCCTATAATTCGGCTGTTGGAGCGTTTAAAGATGTCCTGGAGGTTTCTAAGCCTCTCCTCATTTTTTAAAATTCTTGTTTCTTCATTTTTCTGTTTGGTCATTTTTTTCTTCCTTCTGGTCCACTCCATTGATTTGAGTCCCAGTTTCCTTTCTATCACTATTGGTTTCCTGTGCATTTCTCTTCATTTCAATTAGTTTAGCCTTCATTTTTTTCTTCTAATTTGTGACTAAAATCAACCAGTTCTGTGAGCATTCTCATCACCAGTGCTTTGAACTGTGCATCTGAAAGTTTGGCTATTTCTTGGTCACTTAGAGTTATGGGCTCTGGGGCTTTGAGTTCTTCTTGAGCCATGTTTTGGTCTGTTCGTGCCTGTTATATACGAGAAGCGGAACCTTAGTTGTTCACCAGGGCGGGGCCACCCAGGTCGCTGGTTTGTGACGCTGCATGTGGGGGCGGGGTCAGAGCGGGACAATAGTGGTCTCCTCTGCTGCTTCCCTGCCACTGGGGCCTGCGCGGTCCATCTCACTGCTCGCTCCTTCCTGGTTTATCTGTGCACGAGTGTGTGACTGCAGTCAGCCAGCTGCCTTGTGCCCTCACTGGGTCTG